TTTTTTTTTTTTTTTTTTTCCTTGAAAAAGTTTCATCATTTTTAGGATGACTTCTTAATTTTAACTTTGGTCTTAGGTTATTGAACCAGAACAAAGAGAGGGAGAAAGTTGATGTGGCTAGTTAGACGCATGCCCAGTTCAGGCAAAATTCACCCCTGCGATAAGTGGAAGCAAACCCACTGGCTTCAGCATAGCTGCACCATCTCATGCCAGTGATGAATCGCCGGAATTTGGAGCAGCGGCATCTGTACGTGGCAGATAAGGACAGCTACTCCTCGCTTAACGTTGTAGTTACGTTCTTGGAAAAGTGCGACTTTAAGCAAAATGATGTTAAGCAAATCCAATTATGTCGCAGTAATTACCCACTAGCAGGCGGCAGCCAAACAACGTTATAACCGAATGTTGCACAACTTTAAACGAGTGTGTTCTCTAATAGGTCAGTGACGTAATAACAAAACAACGTTAACCGGGATGACGCTAATTGAGGAGTACCTGTACGTTCCCCAAGTCATCTGCCCTGAGGATGTGGGGTTGATGTTGTCTATCCAGCTGGCCTATCCATCAGGCAGACTTCCTTCGTCGTCTGGTTATTTGTGAGCAGGAAGCTTGCTAACAGACCATGTTGTATCCCTTGTTAAAATAGCAATGTTTTTGGAAGGCACCAGGAAAACGCAACACGTCAAAGCACGGACTACCGAACAAGCTCAATTTAAATTTATCTTCTCCTGCTGGTAACCAGTAATTAGGACCTATTTTAGGTTTTATCTAATTAGTGTTTGCTCAATTGATTTGGTGTTTATATTGAGTCCTGAAGTTTTGAATTGGGATGAGAACCCCATGGTACTTGGAACATGTAGGAAGAGATGCTAATGCTCCATTTTTGAAGAAAGACTGAGGGCTCGTCCATATATGAAAGTTTTTTTTTATTTCAGAAAGCAGTGGATCATGAATTTACAGTGGTGTTGTTACTGGGATATACCTCTAGAATAATTTCATCTCCAACCAGCTAGTTGGGCTTGTCTAAGTGAGGGAAATCGCATAGAATACCTGGATGTTGTTGAGTACCTTTTAGTTCACACTGGAAATAGGTCAAACTAAGCCTGCTTAGAGTGAAGTAAGTATTTGGATAGGGAGTAATTTTGGACTATCTATTGCCCTTTGCATTCATATTTAGCTTATTTAGCAACAGTCATGTTGTGTAGGTAAGGCCACAGGGTCCTATATCCCATTGTAAATCTGAGATGTAAGCTCTTGAAAATAAAACTCCTAAATGATTTAGGAACCTATTTAGGCCCTTTTGTAAGCTATACACCATCCCTGCAGTCAGTGGCCCCTAGAAATGAAATACCCATGTTCAAGTTGTCTCCTGTGACGTGTTCATAAGATAAAATTATTGGGGAAATCGTGAGCTCAGTGGATTTGCTCCCAAGAGTCAGGGGAGAAGAGCTTGACTTCCAGCCCATAACTATGGGAAAAGTGAAAATGAATATGAAAAACCTCTTTCTAGAGAGAGATTCCTGCTCTTGGGCTGTAAACCGACTGTGATTAGATTCACTGAAAAGCCTTGCCTGGGCCTCGGACACGCTACTGTCACGTACAAGTTGCATTCTGCTGCTTTAGATCAGATTTGATTTAGTATTTTATAAAGAATCAGTGGTTCTATAAAAGCTGTCTTTCATCCAGCTTGTTTGTGACCGGTACACTGGCAAGGAGGTTGTTTGGAGGTTAACAAATAACAGCAGCAAAAGCTGTTCTGTATGCTGCGATCACACAAGATGAAATAGTCCACAGCTAGGGTTGGACTTGGTGCCTGTAGTTCAGCAGTGATTCCTCTGCTTCTTCTGGAGTGCGAGTAAAATCGCTTGCTAGAATCTGCACCTATTTGAAGCCAGTGGAAATTTGGTGACTGCTTTGAAAAAGAATCGGATCCGGTGTTGCTGATAGCACTAAGAGTGTTAGGGTTTATAGGTTCTGCAGGCGGGTAGCCACTAGAGGGTGTCAAGATCACATACACACAATTAATCCTAACATTTCTAGTGCTTTATGAATTTCAACAGGAATGAAAACAGGGATCTGTGATCCAGTGCTGACATTTCTGCCAGCAGAAAGGCCAGCAGAAACATTCACACTAGATGCAACATTTTAATCTCCAAGAGCTATGAATTCCTGTAAAACTAAGTCATGTGAGAGAGCCCAGTGAAACTGATGGGACTATTCGCCGACAAAAATTTACTCCAAAAAGCATAAGGATGCCAGAGTCTGGCCTTGGATGATTGCATGTCTCTGAGCCTGCAGACCGAACGGAGAGGGGAACTTGGAAGGGGATGCAGAACTTTTTGTCTGTTTCGGAGCAATCCTCAGCTCATCTCGAAAGCGGCTGAAAAGAAGTGGTTTTGATAGCAAACGGGTTGTTAATTATTGAGCTCCTGTGAATTCCTATAATTTTAAAATCATGTTGGCAACAGATCAAAAGAACATGTGGTGCCACAGTGTTGGAGTATTTTTATTTATATCTGATTTGCAATTGTCTCCATGGCAATGTGGGAGATGAAGACGAAGGAAAGAAATGAGTTATCACTTTTTTTTTTTTTTTCCCCCAACTGGGTCATTTAATAAAGACATGTTAAGGATTAATTTAACATTATAGAGCTGCCTGGCTAGCCCTTATCATTATAGCTAAAGATTTGTTAGCGTTTCTATTACAAACCTGGTTTTGAAGTGTTTATAACTCATCTATTTTAATTTGCTCAGGCTGCAACTTTGTGCACACAGGTCCTCTGCGCAGAAGCACAATAAATTGTCATTGTGGATTATGCTGAGTTTTACCAGTGCTTAGTTCAAGGGCATCTCAGAGTTCAGTTCTTCTTTTTTGTTACGGGATAGATATTGTTTTTTGGGGCTTTTTTGTTTTTGTTCTAAACAATGGTCTGTTTTTAAGAACTGAAATTTGGCAAGCGCTCCTCCCTTCATTTTGAAAGAGCTGCGTAGGATCGTCTGCAACTCCCATGGGTGAAAACAGAATTCAGTACTTTGAAAATGTAGTGTTCAGTTCCTGCTGTGCCATTATCAGAAATAATGTTAATAAATGAGTTATTTAAATGCGACAAATAGCTGGAAAGGCAGAACGTCTCTGAGTCAGAATTCTGTATTTTCTTAGCACTGCATTAACAAGCGTACTCTTTATGACAGCACAGAGGCTATGCAAAACAACACTGCTTTTAAGGAAAGATTGCACACATAGGAGTAAGTTTTCAAACCCAGGAGAGTGCAGTTAAATATCTAATTAAATTGCCTTCATTTGCAAAGGGGATGAGTGTTGATAGTTTCCCTTAACTTCAGCGTTAGCACTTGGAACCAAAATCACCCTTATGTGGGGGATTCACTTTAGGCACCCAGTGATGAAACTTCATCTTGGAAAGGTCTAAACACCTTGCCAAGGCTCTTTGACTTGAAAACAGCCAAGTTCCTTTGAAGATGCTATTGGCATCTATTCGCAGTGTGGCGAGCAGAATCCTGAGCATATGGAAACTCAGTATATTCATGAAATGCATATGATGTAGGCATGGCCCCTTTGCACTGCTAGGACTCTGCAGGGTGAGAATGGGGGACAAGAGGACCATGCTGCAGACTATTCCAGTCACACTGGAGACCATTGCTTTACTCTCCACCAGTGGTTTTCAACCTGTGGTCTGTGGATCCCGGGGGGTCCCCAGACTATGTCTGAGAGGTCTGTGAAAGATGACTATGAGCAATCCAGCATATGTGAATACTCATATTTACAACTCAAAGGGATCCACCCCTCCATTTAAAATATCCAAATGGGTCCGCATCTCCGTTCAGACTTTTTTAGGAGTCAAAAAAAAGGTTGAAAACCCACTGCTCTCCATGGACTTGAGGAACTGTGGAATTTACGTTCAGCTCTTTTCTCTCTTTAAATGTTGCCGCTCTTTAGTTAGGGGAGGCAGGCAGATGCCCACAGTGGCTGGGGCCAGAAGGTGGGGGGCCCTCCTGCCTGCCTCCCAGTGTGCCACACGTTACCAAGGACAGTTGAAAATGGCCACATGGCTGTGCCATCTCTGTTTGGCTGTCGACCACATGCCTCCCTCCACTGCCCTGTCATCTTCCACTGGCTGCCTGCAGCTGCTAGCTGCCTGATAGGAGGTGTGCCCACCCCCATTTGGCAGCATGGGGCTCCCTGGGCATTGCTCAGGGTGGGGGGGGGG